TGCGCCGCCGTTTCCATGCAATTATTTTCCCACGGAACCAACAGAGAGAGAGAGAGAGAGAGAACCAGGGGGAATAATACATACACGGAAACGAGATCTTCATCTCGCTCGCAATAAACCGTATTATGCGCGCTACTTGTCCCCTTTCCCCGATACCCGCCTACTCGGATGTTTCCGCGTTATCGTTCCACGCCCGCATTCTCCCTCTTTGTTCCGGATGCAACGACCGAGCAAATCAACCATACGGTTGATACCAAAGAATATTAGAGGCTACCGTGATAACATCCGGCGTTGCTGGAAAAAAGATCGCCCCGAGATACGATATCGTCTCGTAAAAGATAGAAATGCATTTTACGGTCGTCGCGTAAAATTATGCGGATAAGTCGTTCCTCGGCGATCCTGCATACCGAAATATCCTCATCAGACACACAGACACACCTCCGCGTCACGGTGAAACTTCATTGGGAATTCCAAGTAGATTAAGACAGTTTATTTTTACCCTCGATATTTCTCCTCTTCCTCTAGATTGCTCGTTAATCGGATATCGTTGCGACAACACTGCTGCAATTGGCTGAAATGTTCCCGTCTATTTTTTCAACGTAACACCCTGAATGTTTATTTTACCGGTGATCGTTTCCTCGGTGTATAGGTATGTACATATGTAGTGGTTTGGCGGAGGAAAAGGAAGGGAGGAGGCTAGAGAGGTTTAAGAGGAAACGACGAGTTTCACGGTAAAAATGCAAAGTCGAAAACTCGGGCCGATGGTTGAGACGAGGGTACCGAATATACATACGTCTACCGGCTGAAATAACCTCTCATTTGTTCCAAGCCTGAGTTCTCTCTCCTTCGTCGGCCTCGTTTCCGTTCTCGTTTTCTCCCTCTCTCCATCCGCCCTTCTACAACCCCCGACCCGTTTATTCCGACAAAGAGCGCGAGGGCGCGGTCCTACGTAGAATACCGTCGATTTCGCGAAATTCTTCGGAAAAATCTGCATAATTTCGAGAATTGCCTTTTGATGTTGGAGATGAAAGAGCCCGCGACCGAGTGGTCTTCCGAACCCATTCCGCCTATCTCTCTATAACTCGAGTTCGCCGTCTTCTCTATTCTCTCCGACGCTCTCTCGGATTCGACATTCCATTCGTATTGTTCGGCGTGGACAATTTTCGAAACACCTGTAAAAATTCCGGATGGAAATGGAAGAAGACCGCGGGAGGAGGGTGGGAGAGTTTGGTCGAAGACGTTCTTCGAACGCCGGAGGAGAACCTCAAAGAACGCAGACGGAGGAGCGAGGGAAGAGGTTGAAAAATAATCAGAAAAGGGTAACTAACGTCTGTAGCTGGAAGCGTAACGAATTCGCCTCGGCCAGAGTGGTAGGAGAATAAAAAGGAGACGCATTGTCGGAGACGAAACTAGTAGCGAGTACTCGGCGAGTACTCGGCGAGTACTAGCAGCGACGTGCCGCGTAAACTTGCGACAGAAGAAAATAACAAAGGGGAACGGCACACAATGCGTATCGGAGCTTTCAGAGGCGAGGTTGGTTCCCCCGGACATGGGCGCGCACGGATGACGACGCGACGGGGAGGACTCGAACACGGAGGTGGTAGCGCATTTGCAACTATATGGTGGGTGTACGCCAGCGAGTAAACGAACGAACGAACGAACGAAGGAACGTGCGAGCGTATCGTGACCATAACAAACGGGAAGAAGGGGTAGGAGGAGAGAGCGAGTGTTTGTGAACGCTTGCGAATTGCCGCGCCATCCCGCTCGGCTTAATTTTGCCCTGAGCCCCTCGTAGTTATTCGAGTGCCGCCGACAGGCTCGTGCGGGACAGTTGAATCGCTCCCGGGGATTCGCCATCTTTTGTCTTAGCACAATGCCGGCCCAAGTACAAAAGTGACTAAGTGCCCGTAATACTCGCCATTATATGCCTCCTACCGGCACTCTTCTCCACGTTACT